CTTTTTGGATGCATGAGTATCTTGGAGACTATCTTTTATATATCATCTTGTTTAAGTATACCTCTACCATATTTTATTGTTAACAGAATAGCCTGCATATACCCACCAAGCATCTTTTCATCATCCCTTGTGGTGCTTACCATCTTAGTTTTTAGACTCTTTTGTTTTAGTATTGGCAGACATTTTACACTACCAGGAGAACGCAGGTGTTAAAAAGTGATGTTTTTGTATTGACAAGCAATTTGGAATCACTGAAACCATGGCACAATATCTCAAATGAATTCCAGTCTGATCTACTCCTATTCTATTCTAGGCCCAGCTAATTATTTATCTGAATTACTTGTTCAAGAGACACATAATGATCAAATAATTAAGTGACTTACAGTCAATCCCTTAATATTTGTGTGCTTAAACTTTCATGACTTGAAGCATTTGAATGATTTTATTTAGTAACTTTGTTGACAACCACAGGCATTTGTGGCTATGCAAAAAAGAGGAAAAAAAAACAGAGAGGTGTGATGCACCCAAATTTTGCCTGTTACCAATTTTGTGTATTGCATTTTATGAGTTATTTCAGGAAAAATGGATATTATCAGAATTAATGTTTTGTTACAAATGTATGCAGAAAAGTGTATTTTTGGCAATTGCTAGCCAAAGATTACAGTTTTTGGTGATTGAGGGACCCTAAACCCCTATTTCCCATATGTTCAATGTACCAACATCTGTGTCTGACTTTTGCACCGTTTTCTAGGAACATACTTCCTGAAAATTATGAATTGACTGGACATGTCATAATTTGCACAATGTATGATTTTTATCTTTATTCACTTTGTTTTTGGAATATGGATGGTTAGGTTGATTTCTATTGAATAACTGTTTCATGCAAGGAGATTAATAGTGCTTCAAAGTTTGTTGAAATTATGTCATCATCTATTAATAGGAATACATGAAGCACTTCATCATAAATACAAAACACTGTTTTAGTTCAGAACTCTTTGAACACTATCTTCCATGACATTAGCAGACAAATAGCTTTGGCAGATGTCTCTCCTTATTTAATACCTGATTTGATATTAATATTCAGTCAGTCAAAAAGCATTTAGTAAGCAACTACTATAAGCCAGGCACTATACTAAGTACTGGGCAAAGAAAGGCAAAAACAAGGTCACCGCCCTTGAGGACCTCACATTCTAATGGAGAAAACAACATGTAGACAACTACATACACACAATATGTATAAGGGAGAGCATGTGAAAAGATACAGAGTTGGGAGATAGTGTTGTGTTCAAATAGAAAGAAGTCCAGTGTCTCTAAACAGCTGAATACTCAGGGGAGAGTAAAGTCTAACAAATGTAGGAAAGGCCTGGCTGTGAAGGGCTTTAAAGGCCAGAGAATTCTAAATGCAACCCTGGAAGTAAAAGCCAATGGAGTATATTGAATGGGGGTGGGAGAGTAGGGAGAGGATGATACGGGCAGATCTGTGGTTTAAGAAAATCACTTTGGCAGCTCAGTGGGGAATACACTGGAGAGGAGAGAGCAGGTTACTGTAATAGTCCAGGAGGTGTTGAGTACCTGTACCAGGTTGATGGCTCTATGAGTAGAGGATTTATATGATAGATGTGAAAACAGAAAGGGCAACACTTGGCACATATGGATATAGGGGTGAGTGCAAATGAGGAGTCAAAGACAGGGAGGTTGGGAGGATGGTGGCACTCTAAACAGTAATAGGGAAGTTCAGAAGAGGAGGGAGTTTGGAGTGGGGGGTATAAGATGAGTTAATGAGTTTGAGAGGTCTATAGAACATTCAAGACAGAGGCCAGAACTAGATAAATAGAACTGTGAATCATCTACATAGAGATGATAATTAAACTCATGAGAACTAATGAGATCACTAAGTGAGATAGTATAGAGCAGATGTGTCAAACTTCATACCAGCAGCAAAACTTGCTCCTGAACCAAATTAAAATGTAATTGGGAAATGTTTAATAATATAAATAAAAATACAATACAACACAGATAACATTAATTTTTGGTATTCTAAGTCAATGTACTGCCCATAGGAATCCCATACCACTGGTGGAAGAAGAGAGGAGGGCCCAGAACAGACTCTAGACTCCACCAGACCACATGATTTGTGGGCATAACCTGCAGGAAGAGCCAGCAAAGTTGGCAGAAGAACAATCAGATTGACTGAAGGAGAATCCGGAGAGAGCCGGGTCATGGAATCTGGAGGACAGAGTATCCACGAGAAAAGGGTGAATGAGTGTCATAGGCTACAGAAAGGGCAAGAAAGATAATCTGGTAAGTAAGAGATCATTGGTAACTTTGGAGAGTGAGCAGTTTTAGTTGAATGATTGCGGTCACAAGCCAGATTGCAAATGGTTTAGAAGAGAGTACTCTAGAAGCGATAAAGTGGAAGTATTATTTTTTCTATTTTCAAAAAATTAATTAATTGAAGAGAGTACTCTAGAAGCGATAAAATGGAAGTATTATTTTTTTCTATTTTCAAAAAATTAATTAATTTTTAGTTTTGAACATTCAATTCCATAAAATTTTAAGTTCTAAATTGTCTCCCCTCCCTCCCCTTCCCTCTCCCCAAGATGGCGTGCAATTTGATATAGACTCTACATATACATTCATTTTAAACATATAACTCCCACCTGTGGATCCAAGAAGCTGTAGGATGCATGGCAGCCACACCCCAGTAATGTGTTTTGGCATACGGTCTATACCAGGTTGAGTGTAACAGAGGGGTCCCAAATAAATTGGTGAATTAGGGGGCTATCTACCCCAAGCATGTGAAGACTCCCCTGGTGGAAGGGGAGGATGAGAACACTTTGTTCCAATGCCCATGAAGGCAGCTGAAGCAGGCGCTGTGGAGTGCTTAGACCTTGGTTAGACATTGAAGATGCCAAGGTCTTTTACTGCATCTTAAGCCATCACCAGTTGTCTTGATTCTGTCCTGCCACTGGACTATGATGACTCTGGAGGAGAGAGTGAGGCTGACAACTTTGGGCAACTCTGCCTCACTTAAATCCAATTCATGCAAGAATCAAAAGACATTACCCAAACCATTTTACTGATCTCAAAGTCCTGTGGCAACAGGCAAGTTACGAAGCAGCAGGTGTTGATACACTGGGAACTGTAGTCACTATCCTGCACACAGGAGGCCCAGGCCATAGGGTCGTTTTCTCACTGGAAGCAGCAGTGGGATTCGGCAGCCCCCTGGGTATCTGAGCAGCCTTTTAAGGATTGCACTGCTCACCTTCTGGTGTGAGGAAGGGGCTAGAAAACGTGCCGTAAAAACTGTCTGCTTATCCAACCCTGGCCTGAAAAGTGGCAGGCAGGGAATGCCACTCCAGGGTTGAAACACAAACAAATGTACAAAAACATAGATAACACAAAATCCAGTAGACCTGAAAGACGAACAGCTCTTGTTGCAAGAGAACTCAGCAGGTATTGCATCCAAATAGCAGCCCTGAGTGAAAGAAGACTGGCAAAACAAAGGCCAGCTTGCTAAAGTTGGAGCTGGATACACATTTTTCTGGAGTGGCCACAGTGAAGGGCAGTGCCTGAAGTGGATTTTGCAATCAAAACCAATCTAGTCTAGATGAGCTTGTATGCCCACCAAAATGAGTGAATGACAGGCTCATGACAATACGATTACCACTTGCAGGAAAATGTCATGCCACCATCATCATTGCCTATGCTCCCACCATGACGAACCCTAACGAAGTCAAAGAAAAATTTTATTCAGACCTGGAGACCCTTATCATCAATGTGCCAAAAAAGGACAAGCTTATAATTCTGGGTGACTTTAATGCTAGAGTAGGCTCAGACTACCAGACTTGGCAGGAAGTCCTAGGGAGGAACAGAGTTGGAAACAGCAACAGCAGTGTTCACTTAATAGCAAACACTGGCATTTAACAGACTATGTGATTGTAAGGAGAAGAGACAGACAGGATGTGAGAGTGACAAAGGCAATATGTGGTGCAGAGTATTGGACCAATCATAGACTTATCCTATCTGAGCTAAATATTTGCATTCAACAAAAGCGGCGTCCCCAAGGGAAAATGAATACCAGAAGAATTAATGTCAACAGATTAGAGCTCTTCTCTGAGCAGGAACAGTCTGTTGATAATTTGAAGGGAAAGTTGAGCCAACACACAGTTGGCAACAGTGGAGCAGAAAAGGAGTGGGTAGCTTTCAGAGATTTGGTGTATAGCACTGCATTTGCTCATCTGGGTCAGAATACTCGCAAACACCAAGACTAGTTTAATGAAAATGATGGGGAAATTCAGAAGTTGCTAAATGAAAAACAAGAACTCCATAGGGTTTACCAGCAGGACAGTTCATCCATCTCTAAGAAGGCAGCATTTAGTTCCATCAAAAGTAAAGTAGAACCACTTCCTGGATGTGTTTGTCTCTCTTGGTTTCCTTGGCCTCCTCTGCAGGAGATACATGGGCTTCAGAAACTGGCTCTGTTTCGAGTACTAACCAACCCAGACCGATAACAAGGCAAAGAGTTCCAACTGGTACCAATGGAGGGGTCACTGTGGTAGGCTTTCTCTACAGCTTTATTGGTGAGTCTTTGGTGGGCATTGCCTACTTCTCACAGCTGGTTTTTGTGAATGATTTGGAATCTTCTGCTCCCCAATGGCAAGTTGTTGCATTTACGGGAATCGATGGTTTACTGGGATCAGTTATTGACTCATACTTAGGAGCAACAATGCAGTAGTATGTTTGGGATGAAAGCACCTGCTCAGTTGTCAGCCAGCCAACTGGTGAGACAAAACACATATCAGGAAGCCTATTCGTGATAACAATGCTGTGAACCTGTTTTCTTCCATCCTAGTTGCTCTCTTGCTTCCTAGTGCAGCATGGGCTCTCTGGCCCAAAGAATGAACTACTGTCAATTTCCACTGTTTAGAGACCAAAACTGAGTATAAGGTGAACTTTTCGATTCCAAGATTTAACCTCAAAACAATCATTTGACTCACCCCACTTGCAGGGATTTAATTGAATTCGCATTTTATCTTCCCATAGTCACAAGCCTCTTGCAATATCTGGAAACATTCCAGGAAAGAAAATTCAACAGGAAAAAAACAAAAAACAAACATATCTTCCAGGACCTGAGCGTACAGTTTTTTTCATGTGTCTTGTGTTTTTTTTTCCAAGAACTACCCTTTTACAACTTTTTTAAACTGGTGAATAGATCTTATTCTTGTTAATTCCTTATAGATTTTGAATGTCAATCTTTTAACAGAAAAATTTATAGCAAAGATTTCCCCCATCTGTTTATTTCCTTTTAATTCTGAATATATTGTTTGTTCAATAAAAGCCCTTTATTTTCATGTAATCAAATCTATTTTCTTCTTAATTTCCTTTATATGTTATAAAGCTAAGAAGTTTCATTTTTTAAATTTTTTTGTCAAATTATTCATTTTATCAGAAAGGAATGCAATCTTATTTGACTAGTATTAATCCTAATAAAATCATAACATTCCCACTAAATATAGTTCCCATATCTTGTTCCACTTAAGCAAAAATTTTGCAATAATTTCCCTTACTTGAGATGAGACAATCACTTCGGGATTGTCAATTTTTCCCATTCCGCATCCTCTTTCTACAAGTTCTTTGTTTATACATTTGTTATGCAGAAATCAACTATTTTTTTAATCTCTCTTTTTTTTTCTTCTCTCAACTCCTAATCTATGTCATTTGGCTATTATTCACAACACTACTATTTTTGTTTTGTTAATGCATAATTTTTTTCTTTGTAAGACCTCTTGATTTTTCATATCTATTTTTTTCTCAAACCAATGTTTTCATAAGCTTCTGGTATTTTCAGTTCTAACAAATCCTACTAAGCAGAAAAGGCTTCAAAAATAAAGTTTCTTTTCTTTCATTATCTTTCAAAGTACAGAAAAATTGTGATATGCATCAGTGAAAGGAATACTCACATTGAGGAAATCACAAATCCTTGAAATAATAAATATAAATTGTACTAAAACAGATCAAATTAATTAAATAGTTTTACAGTTGGCAAAAGATATTCAAATTTTTGTATTTAATTTTGGAATCTAAATTACATTTCCAATTAAATACATTAAAAGCAGGCATTCAATACTTAATAATAATTTTTGAAACAATTATTACCTTCCTGATAGGCTCCATCTGCCATGACTAGATGAAGGATCTTAGGATAGAGGTGCTTATGTTCATTTCCCAGAATATTCTGAACTATTGTTGAACAAATCTCAATATTCTCATCTTCATCTTCATGTATTACCTATATGAAATGACAATTCCAAAATTTTAATGAACACTTACACATTACCTTTTTCTAGTCTGATTAATTTGACTGATGTTAGGAATATTTTCAGTACTTAGTAACATAATGACTATAAAGATATGTTCATTTTCAGTACTTATTAAGAGTACATTTCAAAAGCAAATGTAAATTTTTTAAATTTTTAATATTTTATTCCCCTCCCCCCAAACTGCATGTAAAAATGACTTCACATTTGTTGTTTTTTTTTTTTTAAGTTTTGGGTTCCAAATTCTATCTCTTCCTCTTGTTCCTTCCCGTCCCTGAGATAGTAAGCAATCTGATATAGATTATGCATGTACAATTATGTAAAAATTTCTATATTAGTCATTAGTTGAGAACACTTAAATAAAACAAAAGAGAAAGAAAAAAGAAAGTAAAAAATAGTATATTTGGTCTATATTCAAATGCCACTTGTTCTTTCTCTAGAGGCAGATAGAATTTTTCATTATGAATCCTTTGGGATTGTCAGCAAGTGTAAATTTAATCAGCATTCTACCAACCTTTATTTTATCATAAACTTCAATGAATTTATCAAAGCCTATTTCCTGCTCCAGATCAAGTCTCAGTTCCTCCAAATGGTTAAAGACACTATCACATTCTCCACATTCACTGGCAATATCACCATCACTGTAATCTAACAACGGGGAAAAAAAGGCAATTACTTAATGATCAAAACAATAAAAATTAGATGTAAAATGATCTGTATCACAACAGTCAAAAAACAAATTTAATTCTTCCACAAATAATAAGTACAGCACATGACTATTTTCACTACCAAAAAATTATAGTCTTTACTAATTTAATACCATTAACAATAATGTGGCATGGTAGAGTGGCAAATGCATTGGATTTGGAGTAAGAAGATTTGGGTTCAAATCCCACCTTTGCTGTTCATTACTTGGATGACCTTGGTAAGTCTATCAAATGAGGGGCTTTAACTTTCTGAGGTTATAGGTATTTTCTAGTGTTCCTTCTGGTTCTAAATTTACTTTAGAAAGAGCTTTTTAAAAACTGAAACACAGAATTAGATTAAAATGCTGACATACATAAAGATGTTGACTGAATTAATAAAAACTGAAAAAGCATGGCATTATGCCCATCCAATTTAGCAACTCTCAATATCTATGAAATTTAATTGCTGGCATCTTACTTCGCTAGGTAGAATAAATGAGCCCTCAAGTGAAAAAGTAATATGGAAGAGAAGCCAAATATAAAATTTTCACACTATTTCAGGAAAGCAGTAGGGAAAATGTACGGATTTAATATTTTTCTTTTATTCAAACTACACTGAAGAAAGCCTAAAAACATTAGCAAAAGACAAAATGCTATTTAAAAAGACAAAACTAAAAACTTATTAATGTATATAGTCAGTGACTGAATAGTTACTAGAAACAGACTAATGCATCCTTAAAGTAAATTGAGAAAGTCATGAATAAACACAAATCTCCAAAAAAAAAATTTAATCTTTAAAAGAAAGTAAGTTGATACTATGAGTATTAATATTCTTAATAACAAAAATGGTGAACAGGAGTCAAATTATTTTAAAACTGGTTCACAGTATTGACCTCTGCTATCTAGAGAGGGAGGCCAAGCAACAATTGGGAGCAAGCTTAATTAGTTTCAGATAATTGTCCAAAAAAAGGATGCCCCATACTTTAGGAGAGAAAAAAAGAGAGTATGGCTTTTCTTTTTCCTCTTAAAACTTTCCTAGTGCTCCAGTTATTTTTAGATTTGGAAATGCTTTTTCTCTTAAAATATACTTTACTTAAAAATCATTTTTTTAAAGTTGATACTTCAAAAGAGACTAACAGTCACATTGTTTTATTTTCACCTGAATGCCACTCTTCATTAAGAACACTTTCACTGCTTATGTTGTCATCCTCGTCAGCAAGTTCTGTGCCATTTGCTATATGTCCCTCATTGATGGATTTTAAGACAATTTCTACTTCTTCTTCTTCACTAGATTCTTCATTAGGTGGTTCACTAGGTTCACTATATTCTTCACTAGGTTCTCGAAGTAACCTTTCCATAGAGGCCTGAAGATCCTGTAAATCTGGGTCTGCCTCCCCAAATATCCTGAAATTTAAGAACCAAAATGTCAAAATGAACATCATGATCACATTTCTTTAAATTCCAGGATACATTCTGAATCCATGTTCACTTGTGGGCAGAGAACTTAGATGACAATATAGTGTGAGTTTATATAAAATGTATAACACTGTCAAATTTTTAAATGATTTGAAATTTAAAACAAGTGTAAAATATAATTCTATGTATTATAATAATATGAATTGGTCCCTTTAAAATGAATTTTAGTTGCTTAATGAAATTACATTACTATAAATACTAGTTTAACAATTACTTAAGTTTTAAAATATCTATTTACAATATTTTGATAGACTAAATATAAAAGCAGCTTTGCCTTCTCTTTCACCTTCCTAAAGTATATGCCTAATTTGTAACATAATAATATTTTAGATGATTTTGCAAATTCAGTAAAGAAATGATTACCTGGAATATTTAGGAAATGAAAGTGAATTGAAATTAATACTAAAGGGGAATTTTTCCATATACAGACAGTAATAGTTTTCAAATTACAACATCATTGTTACAAATTATCTTTCATAAACAAAGAAAACTTGAATGTGAAGTTTTGTTATCAAGTAGTAAGTATAAAGGAATAAAAGTTTTTTAAAAATATTGCTATTGTTCACTCAGATAAAAAGTTTTCTATAAGTTTTAAAACTATATTTTAACATAAACTACAAGTACAGAATTAATAACCCTAAAAATTTTTTATAGATCTGCAATATCAGTAATACTATAATTATTTTGTAAAACAGAATAAAATACTATTAGCTAATACTTTATCAATATGAACATTCCAAAACTGAACATTTCCAATACAAACTATTAAAAAAGTAACTCGACTATTATTTAAGTGTGGTAAAAATCTCCAAAAAATGTAAAGACAAAATTTTCCAATGATCTTAAGCTAAGAATATGGCTAGAAGAAAAACAAAAACTTCCCTAAAACTTCCCACAGTTCAAAAGCAGGCACACAGCAAGGCTTCAAAGAAAATGAAATGTATTTTAAAAATATGAGAAAAAGGTCTGAAAAGCAGTGAGGCAAATGAAATGAAATTAGAATCACAGAATCATAGTGTTTGAAGGGACATCTGAGGCCATCTACTTCAACTTGTATCTAATCAAGCATCCCCTTCAAACAACATAACTGACAAGTGGTCATCCATTTCTTGCTAGTCCATTCCACTTAAGGATATCTTTAATTATCAGAAAGTTTTTCCTTACGTCAAGCCCGAATTTGTACCTCTGCAGAACTTCCACCCATGGCTGCTAGTTTTGCTCTACAGGGTAAACAATCTAATCTAGTCCAACAAGCATTTGTTTTCAAGTGATTACTAAGGACAAGGAAGGCCCTGGAGATACAAAAACAAAATGGAAGACAGTCTTTGCCCTCATGAAGCTTCTATTTTACTGGAACAAATCTAATTCCTTTTCTCTGTGAAAGCCCTTTAAGTAATTTAAGTTATTATGCTCTGTGTTCCTCTAGTCCTTTCTTCTCTAGGCTAATCACCTCCGTGCTTTAATAGCTCCTTATGACATGAACTTGAGGAAATCCCCTATTTTGATCACCTCCCTCTGAAAGTGCTCCAATAAAAGGGCCAAGTGTGCATACTGATGCAAAAATTTTATTACAATTATACTATTTCTATTTTCTTTGCTTTATGGATAAGAAGAAAATGTGCCGCATTACTTGATGTAGATTGGTTCCTTGAAATCTTCCTAAATTCCAGTCTTTCTAGTGTTAACAAAACATGGCATCCTAACTTAACATTATATTACACGTGTCGTCTGACCAGAGTGGAACAGAAAAACCTACACCACTTCTGTAGTCTTGGACACTTAGTATTTGACTTCAGTCTAAGACCGCTTAGTACTCCTGGCTGCCACATGACAATGCTGGTTTACATTAAACTTACAGTCCATTAAAGACTGAGATAAAATAATAAAAATATAAATTTGAAGTTCACTTCAGAACACTGATTTATCAGAATAAATCTAGAGACTGAAGTAATTTTTCCCTCAGATCAATGAAGTCATTACATAATGTATGATATTCATTAACAGCTTTATGCTTACATCTCTTCACAATCAGAAGGTGCTTCTTTAATGGGTTCATCTTCAGTGTCCTCTATTTCAAGATTGTCTTGACATACATCTACCACAGTGGGAACATCTATCAATGTTCTGAACAACTTAGAGAGATCTGGAAGTGAGCATGTTCTCAACATCTAAAAAATAAAAGTTTTTTTATTAGCAAGAACAGAAAAATAAAAAATGGAAAAAAAGGATGTGTGTGTGTGTGTGTGTGTACACACACATACACTCATCAATTCTTCGTGGCTCAGCTTCAAATTCGAGCAGTTTCATGAAAATAACATACCTTACTTAAGTTTTAGTTTTTTGTTTGTTTGTTTGCTTTTTTTTGCTTTTTGGTGAAGCAAATGGGATTAAGTGACTTGCCCAGGGTCACACAGCTAGTAAGTGTTATGTGGCTGAGGCCAGATTTTAACTCAGGTCCTCCTGACTCCAAGGCCAGAGCTCTATCCACTGCGCCACCTAACTGCCCTTTAAGTTTTATTTACTTTTTTAGAACATCACTGTCATTTTCTAATGACTTCTCACATATACCTCCACTATAACTTAACCTCCTTGTAAACAACAAAATATAGTTAAGCAGAACAAATCAACACACTATTGTCCATTTCCTGTTGTCCATTACCATTCTGCCAAGAAGTTGGAGGCTGGAGGTTGACCCAAATATTAGTCTACTGAATAGCAAATTTCAGGTTCCTACTGGTTTATTATTTCGCATTGTTCTAACTAATTAGTTCCCTTCCCCTCCCCCCCGCTCTTTTTTTTTTACTAAAATATTCAGGTGGGCCACAGGATACATATTAAGAGATCCAGGGACTAAATATTATATAACCTTACAGTTAGGGTATATGCAAAATATGACTGGAGAGTATCATAGACACAACAGACTTTCCCAAGTATCTGCAAAAAGGCAGAGAAGAAAGAAGACTACACTTAAGGTTTAGTCATTGGTATTTCTTCAATTAGAGCTTGGCCTGTTCATTAACCCAAAGAACTTAAGCAATAATACAAAGCCCTTAGTAAAAAAGTTCGTTCTTATGTAAGGTCCTAGAACTAAATTATAAAATTTTATGTCTATACTAAATTGTTTCTTTCCAACTTAGATCCATTTATTCTAGTTTTGTTGTTTGTAAATATGATCCCCATAAAAAAATTCACAAGAAGAAACAGAAGGCTTTCAATATATAAAGATAAAGAATTTTATACAGCTAAAAACAGTATCTCCAGAATAAAAGGGAAACAGATTGGAGAAAATATTTTTATTAAATATATCTGGTAAAAAGCTAATGTTCAGAATACTTTAGAAATTAATACAATTGTTTAAGAAAAATTCCACAATGGAAACATAGTTCTAGGGTATTAACAGACAATTTTTAAAAGAAGAAATATAAACAGTCAATAACTACTTAAGAATATGTTCAAAATCTCTAATGATCAGAAAAATGCAAAGTAAAACAATTTTACAATACTTTTTTATTTTCATCAAATTGGCAAAATAGCTAATAATGGTAAAATCAAATATCACTAGAGACAAGTATAAACTTTTTGGAGAGCACTCTAGAAATGTACAATAAGAACTGTAAAAAATCACAACTTTTGGCACAGATATCCTAATATTGCTGGGACAATAGTCTAAATATTAAAGAAAAAAGGAATTATTGGTACAAAAATCTTCACTGCTGTTTTATCTGTAATAACAAAAACTAGAAATAACTATTATTTCCAATTATTTGAAATATAGTTGAATAAATTATGATATATTAAGACAATAGGATATTAGTATTCTGTATAAAATGACAATTACAAAAACTACAAAGAAATATGTAATTTTTTAAACAAAACTATGCAAACCAATATGGCTGAAGAGTAAAATCACACATACTCACTACAACTGTATTTTAAAAATACAAACCACAAGGGGCAATTAGGTGGCGCAGTGGATAGAGCACCGACCCTGAAGTCAGAAGGACCTGAATTCAAATCTGGCCTCAGACCAAACACTTGACACTTACTAGCTGTGTGACCCTGGGCAAGTCACTTAACCCCAATTGCCTAAAAAACAAACAAACAAAAAAAAAACAACGCAAAAAAATACAAACCACCCAACAACTGTAACACCTTATAAAAGATACAAACAAGTTGAAAGGGATATAGAACAAATAAATTACTAATATGTATTTTATTACTTTATTCAACAAGTTGAAAGGGATATAGAACAAATAAATTACTAATATGTAATTTATTACTTAATATGTATTATTTAATCCTTTAAAACATAGTTTGAATTTTAAGATTTTTTTTAAATGTTCACTCCATAATTTATTTTTAATTAAAGTATATAAAGTTCATATTTTAAAAATATTTTAAGAAACTTCCTGAAAACAGTCCACGTACTACAGTTTCATTTTTGGCCATTTTTTGTCTAGATTAAATCATCTTAACTCCTTAAACTCCTTTATTCCTATTATTTTCCATCTTAATCTGTATTGCTTTTCTCTACATGCATATTTAATTCACATCTCTAAAAATATAAGGACTAAAACTGAAGACTCTCAAAAAAGGCTTACCCAATGGTAAGAAAACTGTTAGATCCCAATTTAAAAACATTCTTTTCTAATCAATATCATGTATATATTAACAGACAACAGGGTAAACTGGAAACCCTACCTTAATTTACTATTGGGGCTAGGATGCCTTTTCCTCCAAATTTTAACATCTAGGGATTAAGATTGTTAAGCAGAATTCCCTTATTGTGATGGAGAATGGATCTTCCCAGTTTTTTTGATTGCTTACTGGACTCCTACCCCACTGACCATCATCATTATTATCATTATCATAACAACTGACTTTTTAAAGTTGACAAAATACTTTACCTACATTATCTTATTTGAGCCTTGCAACCCTGGGAGGTAAATATGACAAGTATCCTTATTCCTATTTTATAGACCAGGTTTTTTCAACTAGAAGTCTAGTTCACTACCACATATGTAACCCCACTGCCTCTTATCTTTCAGTTATCTAGAGAATGAAGTCATTAATCTGGTTCTCCACAATCGTACTCAAACTTATCCTAATATCTACTACTCACTTTTATATACTGCCCAACAAAAATTCAGAATATTCTCCATTCCTTAAACATGCTAGGTTCTTTCAATTTTGTTCACATTGATTTTTTCCAATGGGAAGGGCCTGATTCCATCTATATCTGTCTCTTAAAATTCTACCTATTCTTTAAGGAACAACCTAAAGGCCAGGTCTACTATGAAAAGTTCCTTAAATATATACCCTTATTCCCAAAGCAATCATTCCTTCCTCCAACCTCCCATAGCACTTTGTACCTCTTTGCATGAAGTCAATGATTTGGATAAGATAATAGAAGTATTGTTTGTTCATTTGTAGATGACACAAAGTTGGAAGAATCATATGTTTGGGGCTGGAGGTAGGGGGCTATGGTATGGCATCAACAGGCATATTAAATTAAATTAAATAAAAGTCTCAGACCAAAATAGAAGGGAATAGAGTACAAAGAAAGACCATAAGCTTGGTGCTAAATTCACTAAGGAAGCTGGAAGATTACCCTTAAGGTCAGCAGTTAATGATAATAAGTGCATAGAGAGAATGATATAAATGGATTACATGAATTTTAAAAGAGGCAAGGTTATGGAGAGATATGGTTAGAAGAAGGGTCTGGAAGTGGCAGAGGGAAACAAAGAATATATCAACTCTTTCCAACTAGTCCTTTGAGTTAGGGAAAGTGGGAGAAGGATAGCTCCAAAAGGAGAGTGCTGCAAGGAAAGGTACACTCAGGGGACACCCATCTTAAGTTAAAGTGTGAAGATGTAGGGGACTTTATTGAGACTGCAGCTGAGGTTCCAAAAGAAACCGTGAAAAGGTCTGCAAGAAGTGTAAACTAGTATGAAGAGGGCCTGGAAAGGAGCAGGTCTAAGGTTTTAGGAGAAGTCAGCACATGTGTTTTTCTGGTGATGCTTCCTGTCTTCTCTTAGAGTTAGTTGGCACTTTTTATAGCTGTCAGTGGATCTGTGGATATCTCCCACTACTGAGCCAAATTTTCTGGGAGTTATAAACTAGTTAAAGACAGCTATAACTAAATAACTAGAGTTTTTAAATAAGTGATCTTGTATACCTAAAAGTCAGAGAAAATGATCTGCTCTGGATGTAGGTTATATTCTTCTAAAAAATAAAATGCAAGGGTTGTCTCACAGCTGTTTTTCATTATGCTCAAAGGCCTGTGCCCACAGATGTTTGAGCTTGTGTCCTAGTAATTGAGGACTGTCTGAATACTGAATAAATGGGGAAGTATTATGTTTAACAATTTCTGTAAAAATGTGCAAACACAAGTAAAATACTATAAATATAGTTAAAATATAATGTACCTGATATAGGCAATGAAAATCAAAATGATAATTCTCTAGTGACAATCAATCAACAGGCATTTATTAAGCATCATGTGCTTAGAATTGTCAAAGATACATACCTGTAAATTTGGAAACTGTTATCAGAAAATTGCTCTTAAGACATTATTATTATTATTGTTATTGGTAGTAGTAGTAGTAGTAGTAGTAGTAGTAGTAGTAGTAGTAGTAGT